AGGACACCTTCAAGCCTTATTCTACTGAAGTACGCATGATAATTATAAACATTAAATTATCTGAATTTTCTCCGTCATAATCGTTATTATCATACCTTATTCTTGAAATGCGGCATAGACGCAGAGCCAATCTTTCTGACCTCGTCCAAGGTGAAACTGATGAAGTTTGTTGTTGTTGAGGGTGTCTGTAACAACTGATTCGTTATGAGCCTAAAGGAGAGTTATCGGTATCTGCTGGCGCTTACGTAGCCTGCCAGCGGACGGGCATGACGAGCCTCATTCAATCCGCACAGAGTCGCATCCTCTGTCGCGAACGACACTGTTGGCAGGAATGGAGTTTCTGGTACCTCATAGTTCCTCCTTAACAGCGTCTGCTTATTAAAAGTTTTTGCTGATAAAGTCGGTGCACTCTAACTATAGAGGCAAGCAAATTTCTACGTGATGCCTCGTTCTTCCTCGCTGCTGCTTGGTACTCCTGCGCTGACGTTCAGTCGGAACTTATGTCGGATGCCTTACTTTTTCATGAGGCTTAATGTGAACCTGCCGCTCTTTTGCCTGTTTCTCCTATGCAATTCTTTCGCAATTATGGAACAATTGGTAACTTATACGTACCATACACAGTCACAGTTATTCAAGAGGGTAGGAGTGACGAGTTTATATATTACATAGAATGTACACAGTCTGCTGTCGTTTCGGATCTCACTGAATTCACCTTCAAAAAACGTGATTCACGCTCAGCTTACAACAAAATATCCCATTTTCCAACTTTCCAAGTTACAAGCCTGCCAGAACTTATAAACATGGCATTTAGTAATGATTTTCATTACTTTCCATTGGTCTTTTAATAAAGAGGATATAAATGCTCCTGTCTTCAAGATTATGATCACCGTCGTTACTGTTGCCACAATTTAATTTAAAATTCGTTGTTTTACCGTTTGTGATTATGTTAATGAATTTAATTTGATAGTTACTGTCGTCGCATAAGATTAATAGCATATAACTTCTATCATCGATTAAAATCTCTTAATTGCAGAGCGTCAAGCTCTGTATATTAGTCAACACGGTCGTCGAAATTAAAATTAAGATATGTACTTATTGGATACATAGCCCATCGCTTCCCTTTTGGAAGAGATGTGTGCAGGACATATATCAGCTGTCAAACTTAAAAGGACAGCTAACCAAGTGATTCCGCATTAACTATAGAGTTTGCTATGGAGGTGATTCGCTCTTCA